CCCCCCCCTCTCTCTCTCTTTCTCTCTTTCTGTCTCTCCTAACAACCGCACACTGCTGCCGATGCCACCGCCACAGCTGCTATGTCCGGTTCGAAACACTCGAACGTTGAGAGCATCCGAATTATTTATCCATCGCTCGATCGTACCTGCTCGCGGATGATAGCAAAGGAAGAACATTAAAGAGCGAATCTAGACACGGAAGTGTAACTTTGATTGATATACAAAAGATAATTAGGTTAAAATATCGATCATAGAATATTTCGAGCAAGAAGGAATAATTAGTAAGGGAATAATCATTGGCAAGAAGGAACGATCGAGCGGGGCCATGAATCATTCGGTTTCTCGCGCACGAAGTTTCTCAGACAAAAAGAAATCCGTTTATTGACCTATTTGTATGGAGGAACAGGAAGGAGCGAATTGTGGATGAATAGAGGAAAGGACAGGAGGAGACACACACATACACTCACATCTCCCCCGCATATCCTGTCTCGTCGAGACAAAAATCATCGCGCGGACATAATTAATGCGCGCGCGCGCGCAAATAATCGTCGGTAACGCACATAAAGAAAATACGTGAACGCTAGATTATTTGACTTTTGCAAATAGAAAGCGAAAAAGTATGATGTATCTAAAGGGTAGATCATGTATATTGAGACGAGACATGGAATGCAGAGGATCCAACCCACTGTCATTACTCCCAGAATCTGCTCGCTGCTTACCATCTCAAAAAACAACAGAAAAGAAAACAAGCGATATGAAATAGCGTGGAGGTACGAGAAGAAGCGAAGAGAAAATGAAAAAAAGCACGCATGAATCTATTACATTATATCCAGTTGTCATTTAAATTAAATTTCACATTGTCTAGCAAGTACGAATATTATTATACGAAGGGAAGAACACAGGAGGAGAAAGGAGAGTAAAAACAAATACATTAAGTTATTAAGTTCCAAAACAAACATCAGTGGTGACTTGATTTTCAATACTCTATCATTTTTATTTTTTTTCTCCTCTCTCTCCAACATAATCATCTCTGCACAACAGTCTACATGTAATTCGATATATCTTTTTCCTATGCGGACT